GAATAAACCAGGTGTTGATTTCTTTGGGAGCCGTGGACGCTGAACTCACTGTTGAAGTCCAGGTGCACCCAGTATTATACAGCTAAAAATAAGAGAATACAGATCATCCTCCTGCCTTTGTCGTTAAATAAACAATTGACGCTTCTAAACACTTCTCTGATAATCATCCAATTTCGCAGGTGACGCTGTCACCATGGCTGCTTAGAACATGGAAATGTTCCTTTTCGACACCAACATGTAAACTCAGCACGAGTTATCTACTCTCTACGCCTTCCATAATTTGTACAGTGTGCACTTCTGTCCTAAAACCTTTGGCTTAAAACAACAGGCCTAAAACTGTGGTGACATGGCCGTACCACACACCACATTAATGGATCTTGGCTGGTCAAGTAATTTATTCACTAATCAGCACTAGTAAAATTTAGTTGAATGGTGAAGTTAATGAAATAAGCATACAATCCATCTCCCATATGGAGCATGTTTTTTCTGAGGAATCTGGAGGAGCCAGAGGAACGATGGGGTGTTTTGATGCTGGACGTTCCTGTTTGGAGAGTACAAAGAGCTGGAGTACAGGCGTGCTGGCACAAACAGTGTGATAATGGCTCTCGCTCCCTATCTGGACTACAGGGGCAGTTTGCTCTGGTGTTCCGCTCGCTAATTGGTGCGTGCCGCTCTGCTGCCCTCATTGCCAAGACAGGGAGCAGAAAGCAGAATGTCTTGGTCCAAACTGCAGCTTAAAAATGGACACCATGTCGCTTCAGCGGGTCACCATATTTCTCCACAACACTGGTGTGGCTATTCCATGCCAGGAGGAGCCTCATTAAAATCCACCTAGCTTAGCTAGCTTAGTTTTCGCTCACCTGGCCTTGCTTTGAAGCCCATTCAGAGAGCCTGAGAATGCCAGCGGAGGGAAAGCCAACAGTCTGGATGGTGGTGAAGTTCAGGCAAGCGGGGGCAACACGTTTCATAAGCCATTTTTCTGGACTCTCCCCAAGCATTCTGCATAGCACAGATACCAAGGGTTGGCCTGGAGGAAATGATAATGTGGATGGGTCATGGTGAGAAGGGGTGGGGTGAGGGTGGGTTGGTGAGTCATTTTCCATTAACGGAGAGTAGGGGAGAGATGAGAGGCCGGCTGAGGGACCCTATAGAGTAGCGATTACTCTGACGTTTGGAATGAGACGCGGTCCCCCGTCGCCGTTTGATGTGACTGTCCTACCCAGTGCTCATGCTTCTTACTATGTGCTCAACTTTTGCCTGTTGACAGAGAGCCACAAATCAATGAGATAGAGAATGAGAAATAGAGAGAAAGAGAAGGAAGGAGAGCAAGTGAAATAGACAGAGAGAGAGAGAGAGAGATGGAGACTTGCACTAGCCGAGCTTGACAAATTCTGCCATCAGTGTTCTGCCGTAGCTCCAGTTGTGTGGAGCGACCCGATCGTTTGCATTTATATTGTCTCGCAAGACGGTCTTGACTTTTTCTCTCCTCCCCGTGTTTACTTTTGCACAGAAAAGGTAGCAGCAGATTTGGTCGGGAATGCCGAAATCTGCTGGAATGCAATCAGCAAAATGCACCGAGCAATTTCCCAAATAGCTATTGATTCAGTAAGCCAGAGCAGAGCACTTCCAGCCTCTATGGCAGCCTCTATCAAAGGCTTCATCATTTTTTGGGCCAGATTTTCTAGCAGCTTGTGAATGGGGAGAATTAAAGCAGGGTGTAGCTATCTAATATGACTGTAATTAATGGACGAGTGTGCACTGGGGAGCAAAGCTGTGCTTTTCCATTTATCACCACTAGTTTGATCTGCAGTCTGTCAGCTCAGTGTTAGGCCCATTTAAACTGCCAATTTGAGGCTAATGCTGACGCCAAGGCAAGCACATCTCTGCACAGTCTTAGGGATCATTGATTTTACAGCATCTAAAGAAGGGCGAGTGGATATCATAGCAAGGGCTTGATGAGGCGAATTACGCAAATTTTTTGTTTTTCTTCGGAAGTGAAAGGGAACTGTGGGAAGGTTCCCCTTCAGTAAACAACGCTGCCAACCAATCAGTCTCAGCTCAGTGAAGCGTCTTTCATTTGCATTCGTTATTAATGACACCATGTTACTACCAGCCTCTGCCTGCTTTCTGCACGTTAATGGAGGACTAAAGATTCCCTGAGAGATTCTCCGATGTGTACAGCTCTAGCTGGATTCTACTTTGCATTTACAGGCATTATTAACATGGTGTTTCAGCTTTATGTTGTGAAGAGTAATGCACTGGGTTGATTATACACTGTAGTCTACAGTTTAGAAGAGTGGCTTATCTACAATAGGTCCATATCTGTCTGTATGAATTCATTACAGTTCACTTTCATATTACGTTTGTCATTACCAGTAGTTTGAAAAAATGTTTACAGGTGTTGAATGTAGAATTTACTATAAATGTTGTTTAAACAGGTTTCTACATTATGAGCATTGTATCTTGAAACTGAACACTTCAAACAAATTGTTTCCATGAAGCCCTTAGCCGGAGGCATGTACTCTTTCTGCTGCCTTTTTGTTCCTTGTGCTCTTTCATCTAAAAAACGCAGAACATAATCATTTGAGTGCCCTGTCACATGCAAATCAAGATTGATTTGAGTATTTCAGAATTATAGCAGCTCTACCGCTTCTTTTCCTCAAATGCTGTGACACTAGAATAAATCATTCGTTTAGACCCTCTTTCACCTTTGTCAAGACAAGATATTTGCTGCGGAGCAAAACAAATACATTCTCTCTTTGCTCTGATATTGAGTGGAGCGGAAAACTAATTTTGCCTCAGAATTGTCGCTACAGGTTGTCAAGAAGGTGCAGTAGAGGAAGGTGCTCTGGTAACTTGAAGCCAATTGTGTACTGATGAATGAAAATCAGAATGATGAAATGAGAGGGGTATAAAAGTACGCACAAGGACACGTGTTGACTCATTCCGACCCTAGCCATAAGCTCATACCCTTAGCTGTTCTTCTAAATCTGCTTCTAATTTCACACTTTATAATGGTCTTGCTGGGTTATTTATACCAAGAGCTTAGACACGCCAATAGGACCCAATAAGGAAGACCGTAATGCCTTTTCTTGGCTTGTTTTTGTTGCTGACCAAAGGGTTCTGGGATGGGCTTTTGCCGGGCTAAGCTGGTTGCGTCTATTCTCTTTCTGGTGATCCATCATGGTGGGCCCCTCCTCCTCAGTCTCCGGCTCCATTGCTGTTCGTCCCAAAGGTTGCTCCTTTTGTTGACCTTGTGAAATATCGGCGTGGCTTCTGGTTGCGCGCACACATTCATCCATGCCTGTGTTCTGTTCCTGCTGACTTGATCGTTTCCTTGTCTCTGCTGCTTCAGGGAGGGTGCGAGGGGGGGTTATTAGTAAGGTAATTGGGATGAGAAGAATAGAGCTACCCCAGGGGCTTTAGCTCTTCTGTCTGCTGGTAGTTACAACACTTTTTTTTTTTTCACCCCAGAGGGTTGGGGTTGTGGGGGTTTACAGCTCTTTTGGCTTCTTGCCAGTGCTCTGTCAGCATGTAAACTCTATTAAGCATTAAACTTCTTTTGTATGTTCCTCCTGAAGTTTGTAAAATTCACCCATTTGTTTCTCTTATTGTTCAAAGAATCCTTTACTAGCAAAAAGTATTTTTCTCTTACAAGCCGTAATTGCTTACAAAGGCTGATAAACACACTGTGAAAGATATTCAGTCATGAAGAAAGTGGAACTGGATGTCCACTCTTGTATCATATTATATCATATTATAACAAGTCAGAACTTATATAGTCAGGCAGACAGACAGATGGTCTCTGAGAGTTTGCATGCAAACAAACAGTAACATTGTTTGCACAATATAAGTAGGTGCATAATTAGATGTGTCTATTCATATGTATCTAACTGCAGGCGTTTCTGTCACTCCTTCCACTGTGAGAACGATGTGGGTCTAAAAGAATATGTAGCTGTTAGGAAGCCATTACTGAGAAAAGAAAATAGACAAAAAAGAGAACATTTTCAAATCAAACAAAACAGCTGCTGGTGTTTATACAATGGACTGACCACCCGAGAGTCCAGACCTCAACATAACTGAATGAATTTAGGATAACTTGGATTATGAGAAACAGACAATGCAACCAACTTCAAGACTGAACTTTAAAGATGTAGAGAAACATCCCTGTTGATTTCTTTGAATGGAAGAGTGGGCACACTAAATATTGAAAAAATAGTTAAGGCTTCTGTGTAATTTTCTGTTAAATATATTTTTTCTGCTTCTTTTCTGACGCTGAAAGATGAATAACTTGTACTTAACGGTCATTTAGACTGAATATTAAATTGATGAAGGATGGTCTCTGACTTGTGCATGGATATTGCATAGATATTCTCGCTGTTAAATCAAATCAACTTTCCTTTACATTCTGTTAAATTTTCATGATAAATATATCAATAGAAAGGGCCCAAAATTAGTTAAAGTAAAATCTAGCTACTTATTTACTACTAGCTACTTATTCTAGTTATATATAAGAACATTTATACCTTCTCTTGACAATGTTTGTTCAGCAGCAGCAATGAACTATTCATATGTGCACATACACAGTGCAAAGACATCATTGCAAAAACATGACATGAATATTCAGAAGACAGTAACATTATAACATCATTATGGTCAGTGTGGGTCATGTAGTATTCAAGCACTTTTCAAGTTTTTGCACAATATCATTAGTGTGTACCATAAATCTGCAATGATACTCATTTTCAATCCTGTGTGTAGCGGAACTGAATGAGTTCATGGTCTTTGCACAGGATTCACACTTAAGCAGATGCTTAAACAAAGAATTGACTGTGCTAACACAATGAAAGAATGAAAGATAATTATGCTCATTATGATGTTACGCTAAGGGGCAGCACTAGCTATCAATCATTGTTAGTCACTATTTAGTGACTATTTTAACTATCTCTTTAAAAAACTACACTTGATGCTAACCACATAGATGTGTTTATGTCTTACAGCCATGCACCTGTTTGGGTTGAACTGGCACTTGCAGCCCATGCAGAGGCAGATGTACCAGCTCGCAGAAGACAACACCAGTGGCCTGTCCTTACCTACAGACCTGGGCCTGCCCCCTCTGGGCAACACTGGTCTGGAGCTTCCAGACCGAAGGGGCAAAGACGATGGTATGTGCAAATATTGTGATTGGGTCCAAAAATTAAATAGACAATCTGAACAAATGTTGAGTGTCATGTTGGCAGAAACTTGTGACTTACCTATCATTGCGCCAGTGGTAATATAAGTAACATAAATCTTTAACTTTATAAGTGCTCATTTTGGCTGTGGTTCTGTGGCTTATTTTTAATTTATTCAGTCAATATCGCTGCCAAGTGCCTTCCAGGGTTATTAGAGCTCAGGATGTTTTTAAGCTTAGCTAGTTGTATATGATTAGAATTTATATTGCATTTGGCTGACTGGCAAAAAGTGTCATACTTGAGAAATCACAAAACAAAATTTCATTAAACAGTGACAACAAACAACATTCCATTCTATTCCAATCAATTTCTTAAGACTCCCATTCTCTTAAAAACTTACAAAAACACTAATTATCAAGAACAAAGAAAACCTGTTTGTGATTAACATGTGACTCATTACTATCACACAAATTTTAAATGCTGAGCTGCTTTACTGCTTTTCTAGCTGAATCCAGTGTCTGTTTGCACAAATGCAGGTGTAATGTTGCTGTTTTCTGTTGCTCTCTGATTATATTTGTAATATCTTTCATTAAGCTCATATTAGGTTGTACGTGTGGAAACCTGTGGGCACAAGTTAACTGTGTAAGCATTTAAACAATGACATTTGCTAAGGGTGCAAATGTATTTTGACCAGTTCTGATTTCTTTTCAGCCAAATTGGCCAATTCTTATTAGCCTTTTCTTTTAACTCTAAGCTCACACTGTGTGGGCTAAATAAACACACTAGCCTATTTCCAGTTCTTTCTGTTAGCTGAAATTGCACTATAAATAACATTATCTACTTTTTAAAGGACCCATCCAGCATTCTTCTTCTATTTTATTTTATAGCAATTCAGTTTTACTTGACCATTTCCAGCTTCTCTTTAGCCCTTAGAATTAAACAGGCTGTTTTCATTGCTGGGCCTTTAAGACTGGTATATGTAAATTATCTCTGTTCTGATGACAATTGTTTTGAATCCTTAAGAATGTTTTGTAGTACATCAAACTCTTTTCTTTCAAAAAAGCAAGAAAAATGTGGTTCTTTTGTGATATGCACACTTTAGTGGTCTAGACTGGCATTTTAAATTATTAAATGAAAAATCAGTCTATTTAAACAACATAAAGTGCTACATTGAATGTAAGAGACAGCTGGCTGTTTAGCACACTGAGTCACATATCATTGTACTATGTCATAAGACATAACATTTTAACACAAATTGACCTAAATGAAAATATGAATAGATTAACCACCTGTTTGATTCTAATCTTGGCAGATTCTGATCAAGCATCCCTAACATTTGCCTTTTATTATTTGGCAGATTCTCTTATTTAAGAGTTATTTAGAAATATACAAACAGTAGAAGGCAAAGTGATGAAAGTTTGTAGGACTTACAACCTAAACAACAAGAGTCTTAAGCTAGTTTTAAGTAAAACTTCCACAGAAACAATTTAAAGTGAAATTAGGGGCAATTCTTTGGAAATAGGATTTTTGATAAATTAGTAATATTTTACAGCTAAGAATTTCCAAATGAATTTTGAAATATGCCCTTTTAATAAATAAGCCGTAGTTGTTTTCATTCTTATACAAATAACTGACAAAAGTTGTTTTTTCTTTATGTAGGGTCATTTATTGCTTAACCTACTTAAATGTCATAAATCAGTGATCTTTCTGGAAAAAAATCATCTGAAACAGTTTGTATTCAAAGCCTTGCAAAGACTGTAAAGTTTGATGAAATGCTTTCATTTGCCAAACCATACTTAACCTCCTACCCAAAACTTTCTTCACAGCCCTTTGAACTGTCCTTTATGGGCCCAAATCCGGTCACACGTTCCAAAACGAAGCTTTTTTATTTTTTCCAGATTCCCACTGACACGGCTCATCACTAGCCAACGTTATAACGTCTTAGTTTTGATTTTTCAAAGACTTAACCAGATCCAGGATTAGTTGTCATCCAGCTCCATGCTGTGACCAGTCTTGGCGGCTTGCTGGGAGATCTGCATTGTAATCCAATGAAAGTTGCTGGGGAAGTGGAAGGGCATTATTTGTTCCTGGAGGAAGGGATGGTACAGCTTTAGGGAGTGGGTATCCAGGGGCTCGAGGAGGATTAGAACTTGTGTTCCATCCAAAGAAGACATGCCTTCCTTTCATCTCCCAAACTAGTCTGGAGTTTTCTTGGCAGCGTATGTTATCCCCCCATGGTAGTGCCGATGAGCTGCGCAGTAGGGAAAGTTTGCTCTACTCAGCTCTAGAAACAAAACTGAGTTCAGATTTAGCTATTTGGTTTGCCATCTGCCTTTGAAGAAAGGTGGAAGATCACATCTATTACCATATAGATGAGTCACAGAGTCATCCTTTTTCATTTAGCAGACAGCGGAGAGAGAGCCACACAGACCCGACCACTGCTAGCCTGTCTCTGTCTGAGTGACAGCTGTTGCTGAAGGGAAATCAATAGACTGGGCTTTTTAATTCTGCCTTACAGAGCACAGTTGTCACTAGAAACACAGCCAATAGGTCCAGTGTCACCCCAGCGCTATGCATACTTACTTATTTTCTGAAGAAGTGCTCATCCGATTCAGTATCAGTGTCACCGAAATGTTAGAACGAGGTGTAAATGTTTACTGCATCCAAATGCCTGTTATTCAAATAATGTGATGTTTTGCAGAAAGACAGAAAAAGTCACCGTATGGAAATATCACATAGGCAATGTGATGAAGGCAACTGAGAATGTGCCGTTTTTTCGCTACTGTACTTTTGAGACCGCCTAGCTTAAAATGAGTGTTGAGCCGCCCAGCAAAATATCATTCGATGTGTAATTGGGGCTGATGTGTTGACGCGTTATCCAAGGCGGTAAATTGGAAGGCAGGAGAGCATGCCTTGTCTCTCCAGATCTAACACATTGCAAATGATGGACTTTTTTGAGGGACTGCCATCTGCCGTGGCGTGCGGAGCAGCCCGTGGTGCTGACTGCCTAAAAGTCCTCGGGGCTCTGTTTGCAGGGATGTCTGTTTTCGTCGCCATCACCGCAGAAATTGGCCCGTGTACACGGGCGAGCAGATGTTGCCATTTCCGTGGGGTCCGATGAAGAAGGGTGTGTTATGGCGCAAGCAGGCTTTCTACCCATACAGAAAGAACCTGTTCATAGTGAATGAAAGCAGCCTCCCACTTTAATAGCTCGAGTGCAGCTTTGTGTTTTGTGGGATAATATTTCCTGCAGGTGACCAGCATGATTGAATGTCCAGCGGGAGGTGGTCGCTCCACTGCTCCACCTCAGGGCTGAACAGTATGGACAATATATCATATTGTGATTCTATTACTACATATTAGAATTGACCTGTTCATGTTCTGACCAAACATGCATCTTTCACAGCAGCTGGTCCAAGGTTGGACAAGCTTTACAGAACATTGGTAAAAAAACATTTTAATAAGAAATTTGATTACATTTTGTGTTTATGGGAAAGTTCAAGATTGTAGGTGTGGGAGAAAAAAATCGATACTATCACAATATTGTGGTGTTATATATAAGATTGATGTGTGGAGGCCCAAGTATTGCTATTTTATTATTTAATATTGTATTCTGGGGCCTTCAGCAATTCTCACTAGTGATGGGCATTACGCTTCTTTTCCTTGAATCAGATAAATAGGCTCAGCTAATAATAATCACAAATAAGAGCTGACTCTTTTGGCTCCCAAACATCATTCAGTACCATTGTCAGTTTTTGTTATTAGTGATATATTTGTGAACTTAATGATCTGTCATTTCATTTTTGATAAAATTTTTCTACCTTCTAATTAACTAAGCAACAAAAATTGCATCATGTTGGTTATTAAACCAGATGTTGGTCAGTAGTTTGACTGGAGGAAGCCTGAAGCCTACTCATAGATTTTACTTTCTTTGTAACGCAGGCAAACTGGACAGCTTTTTCCCGGATGACAGCTTCATAGACATGGGTGAGATAGACGTGGGTCGCAAGGTCTCGCAGCAGATACCGCCTGGAATCTTCTGGAGGTCGCAGGTCTTCATCGACCACCCGATGTACCTCAAGTTCAATGTGTCCCTTAGTAAAGATGCCTTGGTGGGAATCTATGGAAGAAGAGGACTTCCACCCTCACACACACAGGTGGGTTGTTCAATCATAGAGATTGTTTGCTCTATTCCCTGTCAGTTCTTTAAATCCTCAATAACTTTTCTAATACACTACTCAAGCTGGATTCATTTTTAAAAAGGGGCTTCAGTGGGGTCATTTGTAAAGGATTTGACTGGTCGTTTTGGAGCATATTTCCTCAGATTAGCACAGTTAGCTTGATTGAGTCATCACAGGCTGAATGTACACATTAGCATTACATGACAGGAGTAATACAACATCAATCAATCAACCAATCAATCAATCATGTAACGTTTATTTAAACTCAGGGTACATTGAGAGTAACCCTCATTTGCAATGTGGTTGAGCTACAGAACAGAGAACAAGGATTGAAAAGAGTAAAAATATTGAAATAAATGAAAACAATAAAATAAAAAAAATTAAATAAAATAATAAAATGAAAGAAAATAAAAGAACATGCCAAACCAGTAAAAAACACAAAATAAATTCTAAACTAGTGAGCATTACCAAATTTAAAGTAGATAAAAACAAAAATAATTAATATGAAGTACTTAAAAATTTACAATTAAAAAAATTTGTATAAAACATGCCAGCTCAAAGCAGATTTTCCCAGTTCGGTAAAACCTCTTGGCACCTGAAGGGTAATCCAGTCATTGGAGCAAGTTTGATCATTTCTGATATTTTCATGGGCATAGATGTGATATATGATAGCATATGACCAATAAGCACTCTATAAATAAATAAATAGTGTGTTGCCCAGTGTACAGGCAGAGAGAACCAGCCAACCTTTTATAGAGTAAGCAATGACTGTTTTTGGGGCTTGCCAGTGATCTCAGAGCTGGGTGAAAAACTGAATATAAAGGGTATAGCAGATGCACATCTGTAAATCACATTACCATAATGAAGAATAGATAATAATGTTGCTTCAACAATCCTTTTTCCTAGCGTGCATTGGAAAACACATTTTGTGCGGATATAGTCTCAATTTGCCTGTGAGGTTATTGATTTGGCATCTAAAAGTATATTTGTAGTCTAGCCATATGCCAAGATACTCATATTTACTTACTCTTTCAATGTTGGATCCCTTCAAGGTAATGCTAAAATGAATGTTAGAAGCTCTGAAAAACAGTAGAAATTTTTTTTTCTGCATTTAAAACTAGTTTATGGTTGTTCAAGGCAGTTTGTAAGGCTTTGTAAGTTTAAAAAGACCACTGCAATTTTTCCATTTTCTGCATAGAGATGCACATTGTAGTCCACAATGAAGGTTGCGGCATCATTAGTATAGTTATTAAATGAAACTGTCCACGGATTGAGCCCTGAGGGATACCTTTAGTTACTGGTAACAGGTGTAATTTATTTTGCCCCAGGGCAAATCTGTCTGTCAGACATTAATCTGAACCCATCTTGTAGCATTGTGTATTAATCTAATCTTTTGTAGACTTTTTACCCTACAAAATATAGTGAATAATATAGTGAAGTAGTTAGTGGTCAACTGCATCATGACTTTGGAAAGATTAAATTAAATTGGCTGCACAGTGTTTCTTTCTGTCTATGGCAGTAAGAATGTCATTTAAAACAAGTGTGGTAGCAGATATGGTGCGATGTTTTTCTCTGAAACCAAATTGATAGGTGCACAAGTTCACACTCGAGTTGATCATTCACTAAATATTCTAACATTTTGGCTAGGCATAACAACTTCCTCAATAATGAGATTATCAAGATTTGATGCCTCACCACCTTTGTGGAGTTACATGTGCTGTCTTCCAGATCCTAGGAATTCTGCTTGATTAAATAGAAAGATTAAACATGTATGTAAAATGTTCTCAAATGACTTGGGTTACAAGCTGCAGAAAAAAGGATCAAGTCTGTCTTCACCTGTACTTTTTCTTGGGTTTATAGTATTGCGAGCATTAGCTAGTATGTGAGGAGAGAAGGGGTGAAAAGTGAAGTGACTATGGCTTACCGTAGAGGATATGTCTGTTACATTAAGGGGAGGTCCTGTATCAGTACTATCAAATAAATGTCCAGCACATGAGAAGTGTGCATTAAAGGCTTGGCAGAGCTCCTTTGGATCAGAGATTTGATGGTCATGAGGTGAGATGCGGGTTGGAAGGCATACTGAGTTTGTACTGAATGAGTTGACTGCCTTCCAGAACTTGACGGAATTAACTAAAAGATTTGCAAATAAATGAAGATAATAGTTTGATTGATAGACGCACAGCTGTCTATTTGCATGTTTTGTTATTACATAACTACTTTATTACATAAAGACAGGACTGGGTCAGCTCCAAGTTTAGCCTGTTACAGGAGGCAGTTCACTCTAATATTATTACTGTTAGAGTCTGAGCACTACAGATTCATACTAGATTAAAATTGTGGATTTCATTGGTAACCATTTAGAATACAGTAAAGCTAGGGTTTAAGATCCATTTCACATGCTGAATTTGTCAAGGCCAAAGCTATTGATCACTGAAATGTTTGAGATGCTTGCCTTTTTATAGCCATGCAAATCAATGTCTGTTTATTTTCCAACTTTACATTTTTAATATGGGCAAATAAGCTGCTGAAAGGTTATACCTGTAGTGTAAGCTGGTGTTCTCTGAATTCCATTGTATTTTGTGGTGTAGACTATTATCATCACACAAAGACTCAGCGTAAAGATTCTGATACAAACAGACACCTAATTTTGGTATTGAACGCTGAGCTTCTCAACCTCGCCTTATTGATTTGTATCATAGAAGCAATGTTATTATGTTACTGGAAATTACACCAAGGTCTAGATCAATATATATAGATACAACTGAGAAAGGATATTATGTTTTGACGATTATTACATTATAGACATTTAACATTGTGCATTTACTAATTAATAAGTTAATTTTCTTGTAAGTAAAACACCAGAATTTCATGATAGGCAAAAGCATGTATTGTGTCAGTTATTGTCTGACCATGAACAAGTTGTGCTTCTTTGATGATTTGGTACAGTTTGACAAGTTTGTTGAATAAAAACCAGTAAAGAATAGCTCTCTGTTGAAACTGCTTTTCTTATAGCACCGTCTATATGAGTGATAGGCAGTCAAAGCAATAATTATCTGATTTTTTTTTAGAGATTTCCCTTGAAGTGCTTTTTTTCTCCTCCAAGGTTGATAAAAATGCTATCAGCCCTGAAGCCAGTCATTTTCCCACATATTAACACCTTCAGAGTGAGGAGTAGACAGCACACCCTCCACTGACCGCTCCTTTCTCAAAGGGAAGTGTCAGTACAGCAGCATCCTTTCTGTGACAGGCCTCTGGTGGCTTCACTGTGTGTGTGGGGGTGTATGTAAGGAAAGGGGGGCTTATCAGCTCATTTGGCTCGCATGTCATCCTAATGCCTGTCTGCGGTCTCCCCTGTCTCTGCCCCGTCTCCAGTTTGACTTTGTGGAGTTGCTGGATGGCCGGCGGCTTCTGGCTCAGGGGGTTCAGGGTCTAGAGGGACCGCCAGCTCTGACCCAGCCACGGAGCCTCATGCCCCTCAACAGCCATGACACAGGCTTCATCCAGTACATGGACTCAGGCATCTGGCACCTGGCAGTGTACAATGATGGGAAGGAGACGGAGCAAGTGTCCTTCCTAACAACGGCTATAGGTGAGTACCACTGACCATAGTCACACAGAAACACTGAAGCTTTGAAGAAGATTGTGGAAGACTGCCATTTCTTTTTGTGTACATATTGACAACAAGTCTATAGACCAAATCAGAATGTTTGTAAATATAAAGGTTTGCTGTACTTTTGGGGTGGATAACTAAATATGCGGTAACTCTCTAATATCATTTGTATCCACATACTTAATGGATTAGGTGTAAGTTTATCCTGTTCGTAAAGCTCGGTGCCACCTGATTTGTGTGTATGTTTATTAGCTTGCACACTCTGAGTTGTTCTCAGAAATAAATGTAACAGATAGCATGTTAGCAGCCAGCAAGCAGTAAGAACAATTTTTAGACAGCACCTGGAGTTAAAACCAGTTGTTACCTAAAATGAATAGTTAAGAGTAGAGTCCCGACAGCTGCTATTCTCCAAAGAGTCTGATGTGCAGCGTTGGCAGCTGCATGCTACTGGTGATAAAGTAACCTTTAGCCTGATAAACAAACATTTGTTTCCTGCTCGAAGTGTGTGGTTTCATGAAAGTGTCAGTCATTCAAATAGCTTTACTGTTTTTAAATATTATTTCAAAATTATGAAATTTATTGAATATTATTACATAATTGTTGATGTCTTACTCTCAGATAACACTCTAGATTAATACAAAAATCTAAATCAAAGTTGAGATGTGTTCAGGGTGTGCCACCATATGCACATATTAAAAATAAAAAAAAAACTGTTTCTACCAAAGCCTACCTAGACTAAATTACCATTCATAGCCCTCTGTGACAGTTTTCAAAAAAAATAAAAATGACAAATTTGGGGATCGAGTTGAAAAAAACTTTTTTAAACACCATTTGAAAATGCCACCATGAATAAAGTGATGGTATGTACTTGATTCAAATATGTACGTCCTTTCTATGTGAATTAAATATATTACATCAAACATAAATAAATATATTATTGCCAGAAGTAATCAAAGTGAGCAATAAAATATGTTGATGTAAAATATTTTATTTATGTGTAAGTTATGTAAACATTTGAATCAATTAGTGGTGAGAGATCTGTATGAGAGATCTGATTCTAGATCAGCACTTCCACTTAGTTTGAGAATCATAGAGTGAAAGAGGTTGCTAATTTTTATCTTATTGTGGTTCTATGCCATGTAAAGTTTAAAAAAAAAAACTTCAACTAATATCCTATGCAGATCTCATCTGCATTCCTTGTTAGCTCCTTTTAACTGAACCATTCTTTAATGAGTAGCTAGTTGGACTGCAGAGTTAATCATGTAGCATCACAGAAATTATGGTATTTAGCTCTGCAAGTACTTAATCATAGAAGTCTACAATTAATGGTCTATGCCCAAGATCAGTGGTACTTTTCAGTGTGTGTGTGAGTATATTGAGCAGGGATAGATTTTCTTAGATAACATGTCCTGAGTGTTTTGACCAGTCACAGATGTTCCTGCATATGTTTGTACAGAATGCCCTGTGGCTGTATACTGGAATGCTTATAATTATTAATTGCAGTTAATAACTGCAGCCGTACTAGCACACAAAATAATCATTTCATTTTGGCCTCGTCTTGTGCTTTTCAAGGCTAGCCATCTAAATTGAATAGTCCATCTTGACAGGAGGTTCATTGACAGCAAGTTACAATTCAAGGCTCTTGAATTTGATACAGATGGGAGTCATTGTCTCAGACACTTGTCCGATGTCCATGAAAACATCTCACTCCATTTCTTTACTCATTGAAAGCAAAAAACTGTTTTCAACAGTCATAGTCTTCAAATAGTAGGCTTAATTTGTCCCCCCAGCCAAAAATCGGAGAAAATTTGAAGGAGCACCCTGCTACTTATCAACCCGTGCCACTCATGACCTGCTGCTCTTCAGCCCTGATCAGTATGGTCTCAAGCTGCCTAGGCCACTACACAGCAATCAGGATGGATTTGAATAAGAAAGATGGAGGGAGCGAGTAATGCTCTACAACGTCCTGGTATTCCTCCACTGATGGCTGCTAATGCTCCCCTTATTATTCGAGGGTCTTCGCTGAGGCCTGTTTTCCATTTTTGGGGCAGGCCATTTGCATACAACACTGGCTGGCCGGATTCAAAGCGTTCTGATTGCGCAGCCCCCTCTCCTGCCCCCCTGCGTGGGCCATTATTGGTCATTATTACAACCAGTTTGCATTTACTTCTCACTGATGAAAGAAAAACCTCTTTTTTTATACTCTGCCCCTTTCAGCACTGGCACATGCTGCTGTGATTCCGCAGCCCAGCTGCCGACATCTGGCCTCCCCCCGACTGAGAACGTTTGTTCGTTTTGTCCTCTCTCTTATGTTTGCTAAAAGCGCCTTTGATTAGCACGAGTGCGTCGGGCAGGCGGGGAGGAAGAGGACGGTTGGAGGTGGGGGGCGTGAGTCGGCCCTAGGTGTCGGCTTTCACGGAGGTGGCAGCTGGGAGCTGTTCTCACATGCTCTTTAATTAAAAGCTCCTGGGCCATGGTCCATCTGTGACAGACAGGCTGAGAAGGACGGGCTGGGGGAGGGGCGCTGAAGCCCATGGATCGATGGCAGCGATCCTCAGTACAACTGGTGCAGCAGCCGTGACCCATCAGGAGACAGACAGACGCTGGTACACTGGGCCTCCCTCGCCACAGGGAGAGTCAAATACTTCGTACTATAGAAGTGTAATAACTAAGGAAAATGTCTGTTCAGTTTGCCTTTCAGTTTTAACTCTGATACACAAAACATTGTATGCAACTCCTTTCTAGATTAAATGGGATTTCTGTTCATATTCTGTAAACCCTGTACAACCTTGTACCAGTTGCCACCTTCTCCAGTAGTCACTTAAATGAAATGAAAATGATCAAGCAAGCCAAACATTTGTACATTTTTGTGATAAATTAGCATTTTGTGCAAGTAAATTAATATAAAAGAGTATCCTTCAGCCTTCAGTCACCTGTTATTGTTTCTCTGATCAAACAAATGTTTCCGACATCTAAAGTAGACTGTTAATGATTTGAGTTCTGATCTAAGTGAAGGCTTGTCCTGCATCTAACAATAACTTCAGTGGAGGTTGTGGCAGTATTATATCTGCTTCCTTTTCACATATTTTAATGGTGTACTTCATTTTACATAACAGTAAATAGACTGGGTTTGAAATGAACTTTAAAGGGCCTATACCAAACCAACTTTCCCTCATTTTTTCTTGAAGTAATTTAAACAGTGTTAAAGTTTCAAAGTGTACTGTTCACTCCCCAGTCCATGCAGTCCATGTATTTCAACTAAGCAAAAACACGCTGTTTTTTATTGAATTTTCTGTCACAAGAACCAACTCATTTCCATATATACACCTATTCATCCTATAGCAGTTTAGCCCCGCCCATTCATACTGAAGTTCTAAAGAGTGTTTGAGCTCTGAATCATATATCAGTCTTAAAACCACAGAAACCAAAACACCTTGTTTAATCCTAAGGGATAAATTGAGATTTGAGAAAAGGTCATATAAAAATGTACATTGTCAATTTTTTGTACATAAAAGCACACAAATGTTCGGAGTGGAACATGAGGGAAAAATAAAAAACAGAAAAGAATTTGGAGGATGTGGGTCCTTTTATAGACTTTGCATACTTGTAGATTTGCATTGATACTAATACTGCAGTTGTTACAACATTCTGTACAAAAGTGTAATTTGCTGGATAATTTAAAGATTTATGGTCTGTGGTTTTATATATGCCTGTTATTAGGTAGACTATACCTGGCCAGGCATTGGGGTGGTTTCGTCTGGATCAATGAGACATCACACAGATAGCACTGATAATAATAACAGGAAAGGCGACATATCCTATAGCTTAACCCTAGAAAAAGGCAATCAATCCAAATCTCTCACATGTATTGTAGAAAATACTGGACAGTGTGTTTTCCACAGAAATCCTACTGGAAAGCCAATTGTACAACTATTTTGAATATTTGTTTTTGTTTGGTTTTTTTTTGTTATTGCTGACACTGGAACTACATTATTTTGTTTGAGGTAGTAAATCACTTTTACATCTCTGTCGTACTACATGAGAGTTCACGTTGGAGGGAGATGTGAGAGAAAGGTGAAAAGTGTCCTCTTTAGTTCAGTATTTGTTGCTTCTAGGTATGCTGGGCATCTGCAGGTATGGTCCCGGGTGTCTGGCGGCCCACCTGCAGTCTGCAGCTAGATGTAGAAGCGCTGGGATAGGGGTATAGCAGGCAGCATATGTGGCAGAGAGTTTATTTGAAGGGAGAGTTCATCATGATTCTCTCTGTCAGATGGAGAGGAACAGAGAGATGTTGTGATAACGTAAGGAGCCAGTGAGAGAGTGAGAGATAGAGGAGGAAAGGGAAGGTGTGATAAAGTGGAGGAAAGCAAGAGAGGAAGAGAGAAAAGTAATAAAGTGGGTCAGCTGAACGATGTCCTTCAGAAGGAATCAAGCTGTGCCAGTTTCTAGAATACAGGCGTTAGATGATCCTCGAGCACTCAGGGATTAAAGCGTTTTACACTGACTTTTATTCATTTAGCAGATGCTGCTATCCAGAGTGATTTAGAAGTCAGGGAGGCAGTAGTCAGTGTAGTGATACTGTTGTAGTACATCACAGGCCTGCACTCATAACCTAAATACAGCAGCTTTACCAAGATTATTCAAGGTCAAGTGTAACCTACAGACCAGATGACTGAGCTTATTACCTTGTTTGAGATTCATGTGGTATTATACTTTACCGTGAAGTAGTTCATATGAGTTGGTATGGTGTATATTTTCAGGATGTATTCATCACACTGGCACAGATATAAATAAACAAATGAACTTCATTGACATTACTGAAAAGCTCACACTTTATACTTATATTCGTATTACGTGTCATATTGTTCAATATGAACCTCACAATTCATTACAAGCAAGTATTAAACAATACGTACAACAGACTGGAGCGAATAAAGCACTCCATTTAATATTGCTTGTATTGCATGAAGTATAACAAA